CATTTGAGCTCCTTTGATTTGATTTTGGAAAGTCTAAATCTAGAGAAGGTGAGAGTCTAACAGATTAAATCTAGCTCCCAGCTAGCGAGCCGGAGACCAGCTACCACTCCTTTTCCCTTTGGCTGACTTATCTGAAAGCAGCTTCAGATACCAGTTTCTGGATAACTGTTTCTCTGCATCAGCATGAAAGTAACAATGCTACTAGAGATGCCACAAAAACTGGCTGAGAAATTCTTTGAGGAGCCAACCTTCCAGTTGCTATCTGTTGGGGCTACCCTTCTGCAGTGCTCAGGACAGGAAACCAAGAATCCCATGTGCATTAACTTGGGCTAAACAGACTTTGGGATAGCACATAGCATCTACCAGTAGTCCTAAAACCACTAAAGAAATTGTAGTGAAAGTAAAGGTCTCTTACTTGTAGGCATTTCTCTGACTTTGCCACTGTATCTAGTATGTAAGTATACATTTTCATCAGTAGAAGTTTGAGGAGTACCTTCACTGTAGCAAGGCAATATTCAGGCCAAATATAATTTCCCTTCCTTGTTACAGAATGCTTGCACATAACAGATAGGGGAATTACTTGCCACACAAGTGTATTGGGTTACTAAACAAATCCTTATTCAGGTACAGTTTTCCTGGAATACACCATTTCCAAAATGAGATTTGTACTGATGGGGCAGGAAATTTGCAACCATGATCGTAACTGTTAATAAGGTCTTTTGGGAACCAATTTTCATTCTTCTTTTTTTTCCCCTGCCATAAAATTCTATATGATGGTGTTTAGTGTTTAAGCAATTTTCCATTAATGTTAACATTTCCCATTTCAATACTTACAGAAAAGCAAGGCTATTAATTTTTCTTATCAAGATACATTTTCCCCTATACTTTTTTCACAAAACTATTAACCAAAACATTTTCTTTCCATGAATTCTAAATATCTTCTCTTCTGATCTCCCAATATGTGAGACAGAATTTAAAAAGGCTTTCAGAAGGCGAGAAAAGTCGATTTGAATTTGGGACTTTGGAGATAACTGCATCTGCTAACAGTTTATATGCAGTGTATTTTCGGACTGAGTTCTACTATTTAGAAGCTTTAAGGGTTAGCTGAGATGGCACAGAGAATAAATGTAACCAACAGATTAACTCATTTGCAAATTACTTATTCAGTGAAGCAAGGTTTGAAAGGAGGAGGTGGAATGTAAGCCTGGAACTGTGACTCAGACTCAACTGCTTTCCTCAATTGCTCTTAGCAAGCCACAATTATACAAATCTCTGACTCAGCATTAAGAACCTGGCAATCTAGTCTTCAACAAAACATAAGGTTTTTAATGTAACATTATCTGTATATTTATAGTAAATAGCTAGTTGCATCTCAAAAATGTTTTAGTACTGTAAGCCAAGATAAATCCTCTCTGACATCACACCTACACAAAGCAGGGGTTGTCCACTTTCAAACAAAAGATTTTACCCCATAAACAGTATGCCAGCAAAGCTTCCACTGACCCTTCTAGTCTATACTGGGACAGCAGGCCTGGGGTGATGAATTTTGCTTTATGACAAATTGTATTATTACTGAGCTGAGCAAGGAAGTGTAATGTAAACTAGACAAATTCTGAATGGGCCTCCTGATAGCTTTAGCTACAGTGCTGCAGGAGAGAGCTGAACGTCCAACACATCATATAACTCATTATCTGTACACTGAAGAAGAATAACAATACTCATCCTATAAAAGATATTCAAATAAAAAGCAGGAAATAAGGATTTTAACTTTGAGAGCATTTATTACAGTTTGTAGAAGAATAGCAAAAAGCTACTCATTTAAGTTTTCTATTTCATGCTCAAGAGTCTTAGCAAGAAGCAAAATTCTCACTGAGCATTCTTTCCAGCTGAACTGCAGTTAGACAGCTAAATCAGTAATGCAGTATAACATGGTCATATTAACTTGGTGAAGCAGAAAAGACCATCTGCAACACCATGAATATGACTAAAATAGAGTGCCAGTAAAAAGCCCTTAATAGTGTCTAATGCCAGAAAACCTTATGAATGGTATTTTTAAGAAGTTCAAAGTAATTGATGAAAAAAGAATTCTAGTATTTGTTTCACTTTTGACACAATAAGTTTTCAAAATTGATTTATAAACTGCTTTACATCTCAATTCTACATGCATTTTAAAATAATAAAATAATTTTATATGTACTTCACTAATTTCAACTGTAAGCAATTTGTTCAAGTATACTTAGTAAGTTAGAAGACATACGCATGTTCCCAAGGTGCACTCTACTGAATATCACTGTGCAGATTGAAAATTGGCAGCTCTAGCTGATGTTTAAAAAATGCATGACTCTGGTTTTATGTAATAGAGAGTTCTGTCTACTGTACTGTTGTGTCCATATATGCATTAGAGTAATATATTTAGTGCTAAATATTTGGAATTCAACAAGCTTTTTCAGAAATTGTCAAGGAAAAAAAAGGAAGATTGTTACATGGGTTTATATTTTAAAGCAGGGGGAAAAGGGTGGAAATAAATGGCCAGATTTCTAAATACTGAGATGTTATCAGCAGAGTCTCACAGGTTCTTTATTATTTAATACATTTTCAATTACTTGGATAACAAAGGTGCAAACGGTGAGAATGTTTGTAGATGCCACCAAATTATTCAGAATATGATATGAGATTTACAGACATATCCTATGATACTGAGTGGCTGAGTGATAAAACAGCAAACAAAATTTTTTTACAGACATAACAATAGAGACTAAATTATCTGTTACCGATCAAGAAAGAAATCTCTCAGCTGTTGTGAAAATTTCTTAAATTAGCACTGGCCAGGAAGATAACTCAAAAAGGCAACCAAATATTAGGAATTATGCAGAAAGGAACTAAGATCAAAACAAAAAACTGTTATGTCACTATATTGATCCCTGAGTCTGGAAGTAGCTCAGGCCACTGTCAAAAACGATTACATTAGAAATGAAAAGGAACTGAGAAGAGTGAGAAGGATGATCAGAGGTACACAACACAGTTACACTAGCATTCTTCAGCTTGGGAAAGGGTATACAAAGAAGAATGCAACAGATGTATGAAAAGCTATAAACATTATTGAGACTATAAAAAGGGAGCAAATATTAGCTATTTTTCATATCATAAGGACTAGCATCCTCCCCAAGGCAACAGGTTTATAGCAAGCAAGAGGAAGTACTTTTTCACAGAGATATACTAAAATTATGGAACTGTTTCCAATAGGATGCTTTGCTGATCAAAGTACAGCTGTGTTTCAAAAGCTGAGACAAATTCAGGGAAGAAAGGTACACCAAACATTCAGTTTGTGGTTTATCTCTGGCTCAGAAAGTTTCTGAACTGCAGATAGACGGAAACTGAGTAAATTTACTGGGACAGATAACACAGTGTAGTGGTTCTTAAATTCCTTCTCCATGTATCCACTACTGGAAAATATCAGAGGTTCAACAGTGTGCTGGATGGATCTGTGGTGTTGTCTAGTATAGCAACTTTAGCTCTTACACAGGTTTTCCATTAAGAAGAGCAGGACACTCTCACTTTCATTCATTTAGAACTCAAAGTAAATTCAATACTAAATATATAGGACATTCATTTTAAAACATTAAATGATTAAGCTGCACCATCAATTGCTCTACACTTACTGTTGGGCATAGGCATCAATGAAAGACTAGTTCAAAACATTTCAGTATGGGATGATAAATTTCAGTGCTAAATATTAATGAACATTAGCTAGCTACAAACGATGGCGATTAAAACTGACTGATAAAAATGAAATCTTTTCCCAAACAGAATTTCTTATCCCAGTAGGAGGGAATAACAAGACATTTTGAGATGTCCTCTGAGAAATCATTTCACTATTGATTCACTGTGGAAAACACTCATCTAGCAAAGTGATGAGTGACAAGAAGCTAGGTCAGACCATTTATGCAATGACATGTGATCATTTCAATTATTTCAATTATTTTATTTTGTTAATATTTTTTAGCATTTCCTTTTCTAAAGTGTTTACTATGTTTTCTGTACATCAGAAGTCCCTGTGCCTCCATCTGTGAGTTGTATTACACAATACCTTAAAGTATTTGCTGTCTGGGTTTGTTGTTTTTAGAGGGACAGTCTGTAGATTTTACTGTTCTTCCCCTGAATATTCTTTATTTGCACCATATTTTACACTTCCTCTCAGCTAGTGATATTTCCTACCATTACAAAAAGTTTTTAGTTTTCCACACACTCAGAACAGCCTACCCTGCCATTCAATATCCCAAGCCCAACTAAGCCCACACCCATGCAAATGTACAAAAGATAATTGCATTGTATAGGTACAACTGAGGCTTGAGAGCTGTGTCGCTGTTTTTTTTTCCTGCATGTTCCTTTCTTTTTCATTTTAAACTCATTCAAAATAAGTGTGTCATTTAGTCGTAAAATGTAAGTATTGGAAAGGATTGTGGCAAAACTGATACACAACTTATTTTTCTTTCCTGAAGGATTAGCACTGTTATCTTCCTGTTTAATTTGTAGCCAATAAATCAATAAATCAGCAGTACACTTTTAAGCACATGGAGTTCCACTAATAATAGAATCCACAAATATCTATTTCAGGATAACAAGCAAAGTAGTTTGACATGTTCTAGCAGTCTTTTATAGATGCACAGATTTTTAATTTAGAAAGGACCATCAGAACAGATAACCTTATCTCTTTTAAAATAGACTGTAGAATCAATGCTGCTATCCTTATTATGAGCTCAATAACTTAGGTCTGACTAAAGTATGAAATCCTTTAACACCATGACTATAACAAACTTACAGCTGTGTAATATTTCCATATTTACACATTCCATTGCTAAGCATTGTAATTTATTAGGAATAGGTCAATTATTTATAGCTATTATTATACACTCTGACTGTGTGTGAAAAAAATCAGATTTTTATGACAAGAAACTAACATGTAATATTTTCTTCTTTTGTATGTATTTACATGTAGGCAGACTTTTTGGATTCCGGTTACCTGGATTTAGACTTTTAACATACAGAAAGCAGTCCTTACCACAGGAAGACCCTGATGCAGTGATAGTCGATTCATCTAAGCACAGTGATGACTCAGTGGCGATGAAGCACTTTAAATCACCTACAAAAGAAAGCTGTAGTCCTTCAGAAGTGGATGATACAAAAGCACTGATTCAACCCAGTAAATGTTCACCTTTGGTTAATATATCAGGACCTCTTGACCATTCATCACCTAAACAACAATGGGACAGACTTTACCCTGACATGATACAGACAAGCAATCCACTAACCCATTCCAGATCAAAGGAAAGCATTTGTAGTATACGGAGAGCATCTTCAGTACATGACATAGAAGGCTTTAACGTCCATCCCAAGAACATTTTTAGGGACCGTCACGCAAGCGAAGGTATGGTAGAAAGTCAATCAGTATTCTCTGATGTACTAAGAAAGGAATTATTGCAATTTTTCGTAGTAATTATCACCACTTTGTAAGCAAAACTAAATATAACCAGCTGTATACATTCAAAAGCACACTAAAAATATTAAGGGCCCAAATATGCCAGGCTTATTTACACTAAATACTGCTTTTCATGTCTAAGCAGACCAACGAAATCATGGGGTTGCTCTTAGACTGCCATCTGCCTTCTGTATAGGGATATAGCAAAATCAGGCCCCACATTACTAAAGTTAATATTGGTATTTGGGGGGGGGGAAATCGGGTGATCAAGTTAAATTGCATGCAGAGTTCTGTCCCATGCTCATATATTAAATTGTCTTTGACTGTATGAAATCCTACTTCAGAGACTGATCAGTTTATTTTTCTTAAATCTGTAATGTGTACATTGTATATTCACTGATCCAATGCTGAGACATGCTTTTTCTCTCACACTGGAGAAAATATCCTCAGCAACTCCATTGGAATGCTTTGTGTAATGCTTAGTGAAATTCTTAGTGAAATGGTGAAATGCTTAGTGTAAAATTCATGTAAGTGTGATTTTCTCTTTGTGTTAGTAGATTCTTGCAACCAGCAAAATTTACAAAGAAGTTTTTTCTGTCTTCTTTTTCTACTGTCTCTCCTAATTACACAAAGTCATGGAGTATAGTCCATGATTTCTTGTTGCAGACAGGGAGTTCAAGAACTTGGGAAACAGCTTAGCAAACAGAGGTTTGAAAGCCCTGTGAATGGAGAGGCACCTTTGAAACTGGCTTTCGCAGAAAAATGCCACATATGTAATGCTTCTGCAGCTACTGATGGTCTAATGACTTGAATTGCATACTTTTTATTCAAGCCTGATGACAAGGAATGTATGGGGAATATTTTAAGATTTCAAACACATATGTCATGGAAGACTGTGTACAGATTCATAACTTAGCAAGAAAATGAATTTTCATTTTCAGTGATTGCCTGTTTTTCTCCTATTTATTGACCACAAGCGTAAAATTCCTTTAAGTTCTCCTGCCTTTTGGAAGGTCCACACTGAGTGCTCTTTGCTTCTGTACATCGCCTAAATATAAGTCTGAATGCTCCTCTGCCACCCAGATTAACTCCTAAAATAGAAGAACTAACTCTTCCTTCCAGTTACTCTTCCTGTATTAAATATAATGGGTAAATACTTCTTTTCTCATTTCTGTTTCTTTTGGACTCTGATTTTTTCAGTTCAAATGAACCCAAAAATTCAATTAATTCCATCCTAAACCATACCATTTTGCTATATTTCATGTTCACATTCAAGCCAAGATTTCAAAATCAGGATGTGGAGGCAAAAATCTTCAAGGTTGAACCTTGGCATGTCTTTTGGACCATTGCATAAGCTTCATCTTGGTTTCAACTTCCCTAGATATTTAAACTAACCTTTCAAATAAAACATATTTAAAGATATCTGTTTTGTCAATTTCTATTTTTGGAACTTATTTTCATTAAAGCACTTCCCAATTGGTCATTCTTTATATAGTTATATGATGAAAATGTGTAAAAATCAATTTGAATATTGTCTTTGGTTATGGTGGTACAAAGCTCATGCAGAAATTGCCACATAATTTAATGCTTGCTGCTTGGAGGAGCAAAAATTTCTAGCTCCATTTCACTGAATAATAATTTTCAAATGTTAAATACTAAGGAAAATAAATTTTACTATGAGGACTCAAGAATCCATTTGAATTCCTATGGCCTCTCACGTGATGTGATCATTTACAGTGTAAATAGATAAAACACCGCCACTCTGATTTCACTCTGCATAAGCTACAAAATAGTAGAGAATCTGGCCCTAAGTTTAGGTCTTACATACGCATTCTAAAAAAGTACAGCAGAACAGAGGATGGCTCTCAGAATTGCAGTAGAATTAGTAACCATCCTTGATGCCATCTGCTTCCAAGCATATTAGAATTTGGCACCTTATGCTGAAAAGATGTTTAAATTTAGCCAGCAAGTCCTGCTTGCCTTACCCAACAGTGAGCCTATTGTTGCTATCAAATTATCCATGCAAGTTAGGTAACCAGGATTCAGCCTAAATGATCTTCTCTGGACGCACAGATTCTGAGCAGAAGCTATAGATACTGTACTGGAGAATGTAAAGCCCTAAGTAAAAGTAAAGTACAATAAGTAAAAAGTAAACTAGAGTCCCAAAGGCCTAAATTATTACCCAAGGAAGCATAAGGTTTAATATATTTCCCATTCCATTTTTATTTTGTTTATTGATCCTAATAATTCTGAATTTTCCTGAATCCATTGAAAACTACTACTCTGTCTGAAAATGCAGTTCTGAATTCAGATTTAATTTTTTTCCACCTCTTCCAGTTCAAATAATATTATTGAATCAGCATAACAGAATTCTGACAGAAGAGAATAGCATTCTTTAGCTCAATACTAACTACAGTAATTCACCCATGGTCAATTTTTTTTTTTTTTTTGGAAGATAACACAATTGAGAATATAAATTATTCCATGCATTAAATTAATTTATGTAGCCTAGTTGTCCATCATTTTAAAATTATCATAGCTGTGGCCATTATATCCTGAAAAGTATTATAGTAAAAATGAAAATTGAGGATTTTAAATTCATTTGAGTGTACTCAATTAAATTCCATTCTAAATTTGCCTATTTGACAGCAAGAGCAGCAGGGCAGGAACTGTGTCTTCCACCCACCACCCAAACTCCAGCAAAGTCCTTCTCACCTGAAACACCAGCAATCCAGATTTTGCAAGCAGGTACAGGTTCACAGGGACTCTTCGGAAATGTTATTTTCTTCAGAAAGTGGCCTCAGTAACATCCCTGCAGTCTTCTGAAAAAACAACAGGCTTTTGAGCCTAACTCAGCTTACAAAATGTGCATTACTGCTACAGATGCCTGGCACAGAAAGGCATCAGGCTGAGAGGAACTAAATGCTCTCCCACACTCATGGTCCAGAGGGCCCAGCTCAACGTCCCGTGCTCCCCAGTCCTCAGAAAGCTGAGGAAAAGCCAGAGAGGCAGCTTGTGTGACATGATGCCACAGACGAGGCCCAACGTCACCTCCGTCTCCCCTCACAGGAGAAGGCCATAGCCTTTCTCCAGGGCGGGGCTGAAGCGGGGCCTCTGCAGAGAGAGGGCTGGTGCTGGGCCAGACAGGGGCACAGCCGCCTCAGCCCTCAGAGGTGGCCTGTCAGCGGGGGACAACTGCAGGTGAATATCAGTTTGAGCCCAAAGCACCTCTGAAAGCTGGTAAGCTGGTCACGGCGGCCGGCAGCACACAGGGGTAGGGCCACATCCTGCGCCTGGCCCCTTGCTCCCTGTCAGCCCCCAGGGCCCTCGCCCACCCTCATACCTGCTCCAAGCTGCTGCAGCTGAGCAGGGGACATGACACAAAGGGAGGGCAGCCTGTGGGTCATGTTGTACACACATGAATAGGAGTGGCGTCTACCTATCCACCTGTGTGGCTTCCTTAAAATAATATTAAATAATAATAATAATAACAACAACAATGATAATATTCTCCTTGAAGAGGTTTGCTGTGATGAGAGGATTCAGGGCCGGGTGTGCCTGTGAGCGCAGAGAGCTTTACTACTGTTACCTTGTGGAAAGGCACCTAAGAGCTGAAGAAAGGTTCAAGGTATATCTTTCTCCTCAGTGTTTCTCCAGTATTTACTCAGAAAGGCACTGTTCAGTTTGCTGCCATGGTAAAAACTTTTCCTCCTGTGAGTCCTGGGCAGGTGTGGGGCCCGGGCATCTGTGTAGGGCTGCCTGCGCAGCCCCACACCCCATGCAGCCAGCCAGCCTGTGCTGCCAGCCACAGCTGTGGGTGCCTCAGCCTCACTTAATTGCATGTGAGTAATTACCCCTTCCCAGGTTAGCACTTTTAACCTCCAACCCAGCACCAGACTTGTGGAGAAACAATTTTATCGCGTCACTGTTAAGGCAAGTTAGCTAGAGCCAGTCCTACTACCTGCTGATCTACTGCAAACAGTTTTAGATTCTCTCTCAATTGTCAAAGTGACTTCAATGTGACTGAAAGTCTACACAATACAATCAAGGATGTGCAAAAATGTTTCAGTTCAAACCACATACATATTTTGAAGCAATATTTTCTGCTTTTTCTGATGTAGATTTTAGTTGTCTTTTTTCTCTTTTTTTCTTCACTTTTATTATGCTGAAAACCAGATAATGGTCGCAATGTCAAAGGTAAAGTATACGTCTAGACTGTGCCTTCCAGTGTTTCAAACAGCCACACTTTTTGGCATGTTACTTTGCCTGCTGTATGAAATGTTCAAATGCAACATTCCCATGCTGACCTCTCTAGGGCCAGGTGCATTACTTATATTTGTTAAACATGTAGTTATTCCCTTAACTATTGTGTCAAAGCACTAACTACCAATCCCTGGAAAAAGTGAAGGCATAGTTAAACAGTCATTTGACTTAATTATCTGTTAATTCAAAAAAGGAAAGGAGGGAGATAGAACATATCATATTTATTTAACTCAGTGCTGTTGTCCTTAAGCAGGCAAAATTTCTATTGAAGCTACCAGGAGTTTTACCTGTGAAAGGACGTATAATCAGGCGGGGCCACTAACAAAAAATCTATTGTTATAAGGTGCTTAGTTTTCAGTTAACTATCTCAAAAATAAAATAATTGATAATCAGGAGCCTTATGGAAGTATCTTCACTTATTCCTCTTTTGTCTCCTTAAAACTAGTTTCACGTTCCTGGATGGCAGGGGGTATGGTTTCAAGCTTCCTGTAGTATTAAAATGTGCATGCATGAACTTCGTTGCCAATTTCATGTTTATGTAATATTTAGTGCAGTTACAAAATTGTTTCTATTCACCAGCACTGAGCTGCATCTTGTGGAACCAATTTGAACATAGTTCTTAAGTGACTTCTTGCATTTCTAGAAAACAATTACTAAAGCATTCAGTTTAACTGCAATATTTGTAGCTATGTCTGAAAACTGGTTTGTGACTTCATGCATGATGCAAAAAGTGTGTGTACCTGGTAAAGTCTTCTCTCTAAACTGCATGCAGTGCATGACATAGATTCTGTAAAGCAATTCATGGACTATGAAATCATTGCATTTGCTTCATGTGTATGTTGGCAAAATCTTGGGGGAAAAAAATGCAGTCTCTGTACTGTAAAACAACTTTTATAAATGTATTTACCGCTGGTGAAAAATGATGGATTGACTCCATCAGGAGAGTGAAATCATTTCTTAATGCATTGTGTAAGCAGGGACAATGGGATCCTACCATAAAAATGGGGAGCTCAAACTTAACCTTAAAGAATCTCCTTTGTAAGGTAGGCAGAAGCATGTCATTCTCCCTGCATATTCAGTTCTTGGCCACTCTGCTGAAACTGTCAATCAGGGTGCCAGTTAGTGTCAATTGTGATTGTGATTTGTTATGGCCCTCTTTTTCTGCTTCCTGCTACGAAAGTATAGCAAAGGTCCACTAGTTGTCAAGTATCAGCTCAATTGCTGCCAGCCTGGGCTGTACTTAAGCTAGTGATGACTTTCAATTAATTACCATTATCAATGAGGTACATATATACCTTTCACCACTTTCTAAAGCTAAAGAAGGTGGATTAAAAGAGCAAGGTTTTATTCTCATGTGCAATTCACTTAAGTCTAATATCAAGCGCTAGGGCATGAGTCTTAGGTAGTGAAGGAGAGAGTAATTCCCTTTGAAAAAGAAGCAATAAAAGATTTAAATCCCAGAAAGCAAAATTTCAATGCAATTTAAGCATCTATAAAGTTGCTATTAAAAAAAAAAATGTCTACTATCTAATCATAGATTTGCCTAAGCTCCCTTAGTTTCCTCTTACCTTTGAGTTCCTTAGGTATCCAGAATCTTGTTCATCTGACAAGTGACCCCAACTTGACACACCACTCATGTATAAGACTACTCAATATTCAAAAACTATTAATTGTTACAACTATGTAGGGACATAGAGTTGAAAAACTGCAGTCTGACCATATGTACGTAGCACACACCAGTCAGATTAGCCACTTCACTGATTTGTGAGGAGATTGTGAGCCCTGATTTATTTTAAACACCACTTTTTAGTAGACATATGTAGATGATGTGAAAGATAGATTCAGGTCCTACCTGGGCCAAAAGGTGTTCAAGAACAATATTCCAATTCCTTGGTAGTATCCTCAGTACCAGGCTTTTTAGCATTCCTTGTGGGAGAAAGGGAGTGCTTTCTTCCTTTTTCCAGTGAAGCTGTTCCACAAAGAATATACTAGGTTCATTGGTCTAGGGAGAAAAAGAGGGGCTGATTTTGTAGTTTAGTGGTTAGAGCACTCACCCACAAATTTTTGTTTATTTTACTTCAAATGATCTTTGGACAAAATACAGAAAGTCATGAGAGCAGAACCACCGGATTGATCTCTCCCAGGGGAGCACCTGAACTGTTAGTCTAGAGCATCGTGCCTTCCCTTGTCATCTTGAACTCTTTTCTGCACAGTGACACAATTTGAAATGGAGTAGTAGAGGATTTCTATCTCTGGCCTAGGTTAACGTATAATTAGTGTGAATTTAGGAGGTAGAAAGCATGTCTATAAATCCAATCCTTTTAAGCTAAGAAAGCAAATTAAAAGTCTGGTTCTTCAGCAAGCATTCTAAGCCAGGTGTGAGGGAAGACCAGCCCTCACTTAAAAAAATTTACAAAAAAACCCACAATTCAGCACTGCCTGAAGCATTTCCCGACAGCTGTCTTCAAGCAGCTGGTTGTTAGAATTTCACTGGTTCACACATTGCAAATACAATCCAGCTCTTCCACTGTTGACTCTGCAATTTACCCCATAGGCCTAATCTTGTCCCACTGGCTGTTCCTGAATCATAGCATCCGTTCTTGTTTCCCTCCCTGGAAGACGACAAAAAAAAAAAAGGCAGTAGAAAAAAAAAACATCACCTTGTTGCCCATATTAGGATTGGGATGCAAAAAGGTTCTCATGTGGATCTGAGAAATACCCTTGGATCCCACACTTTAGATACATTGTTACTGACTGCAGGACCTGGATTTTTTCTTAAATTCATAACTGGCTGGATCTAGCTCTCGCTGTCTAAACAACTTTATCGTTCTTTTTTCCAGTATTATTCTTAAGAGCAAATTTTCCTTACTATGAATATTTTTGGCTTCTGGAACAACTTTATGATAACAGTACAAAACAAATGTACTGATCAGTTATATTGCTTTCTTGTTGTACATGGAACTCTATCCAATATTAAAATGAATAATTATAATGGATATGTACCTCATGAAGTATACAAACTCCATATTTTTTATCTATCATGATGCACTAAAGTAGTATAGGATGTTTCAGTGTATAAATACATCATAAATATTCTACATATGGGTAGCCCTGTTGTTTTCAATATTTTGTTGGTAATGACAATGGAAGAAATATATTTTGTGAGTTTGTGATACTCCAAAATTAAAGGCTTTTAGGGCAGTGTTAGGTTAATATTTCCATTGATTAAGTATGGAGTTACTTGATGAGTCAACAGGGGTACAGCAGGGGTCTACTCAATTTTCCAGTTTACCAAAAAGCGATTTTGAACTAACTACCATGTAAGCATGAGCAAAAGTATGAATGTGAAAATAGAGCCTTTGCTCAGTCCAGACACTCTTATACAATCTTGTGTCCTATTTTGGTTTCTATAAACAAAGAGAATACAGTCTTTATATTCAGCCAGAATTATAATGGAGCATACCAGCATACCCAGTAGCATGAAAACAAGGATGGATGCATTACATACTTTGCAATCCATTGATTTTATAAAAAAATATTGGGGGCTATATGAAAGCTAATTTCATATTTACATACAACACTACACTTGATTCTCATTAGCAAGAGTTATTTTTAAAATTTAGATAATTTTTACTATTAACAAATAGTATAGTGAAAAACAGTTTTTAACTACCCTTTTAACATATCCCACTTAAACATTAATGATAACTTATTTCTCTGCATTCATCAAATACTAAATATGTGTTCTGATTTTTTCAGGGCCTTTTAATCATATCAAGTCAAGTCTGTTGGGATCCACATCGGATTCAAATCTCAACAAATACAGTACAATCAACAAAATTCCTCAACTCACACTGAACTTTTCAGATATCAAAAGTGAAAAAAAATCTTCATCTCCTCCTTCTTCGGAGAAAGCAATTATTGCACCTAAGGTGAAAGACCGAACGCACAATGTAACAGAGAAGGTTACCCAGGTAAGGTAATAGCCATTATTTTAGTTCCTTTTCAGTTTTGTGGAGCCAATTATCAGTGTATTCAGTAAATTCTTACTATTTTCATAAATAATTTGGATATCTCCAAGACAGTTTGAAGGGTTTGAGCCATTACTTACTGTACCTCCAATTCAGTTGCACATGAGGTAGTTTACAACATTAGATGATACTGCTAACAAACAAAACTTTTCAGCTCTCTATTTTTCAATGGAAAAAAGCTGTAGTATGCATCAAGTGCCCCAAACAAGTCCACTAATTTCAGTGATTACTGTCAGTCATAAATGTTAGTTTCATTCTTTTTTCTTTTTCTCAGCTTTATAAATTGCTGATTAGTGCAAGGCACAACATGATAACAACTGGTAGGTGATTGTGCCACTGGTATAAGTATTATAGTTATGTCTTGTAATTCGTGTTTCAGTTCTTTGGCTTTTCATAATGCTCTTTCCTGTGGGTATCTTTTCTATATCTGTACATCAAAAAGGCCGTCAAAATGAAAAGCAGATATCTTTGGACTGGATGTATGATATATTCTGTCATATTTGGACATGAGGCATACAACTGAAACAAAACTGAAAACAATGCAAGATAGCATATTTCTTCACTCTAAGACAGATACAGTGCCCTCTGAAGGCAACAGTTTTCAGCTAAACTCAGTATTATTATTACATTTGTGTTGTAATGTCATGTGGAAATTGGCGAGGACAGGCCACCGATGTGCAACATACTGGAAAAAAAATATTAAGACATGATGGTATCCCAAATAACTTTTATAGTCTTAGTAAGCAGTGGGTTGGCCCTTAAATGCCCATCCACTCACAGACTGAAAGAGGTTAGAAGTGCTTTGTATTAGACTGCAGATATAGATTCTATAAGGAAGATCTTGCCAAGACTAGCTTTTGACTTACTGCTTACATACCTGCCTTCCATAGACCAGACAGCCGCTTCTCCACTTTGGTACTATGCCAGGTATTGTCAATGTTCCTACTCCCTTCAACAGATATAAAAAAGGAATGCATTGTACACCCTCCAGGAGAAATAGAGATAAAAGTTCTATCAGTTCTATCTTGAGATCAGGTAGTGCCTAAAAAGAAATTGGATTTTTATCTTTCATATATTTTGTCTTTGATAGCTAACTTGAATCTGCAACCATTGTACTTTCTTCCCTGGTCAGTTGTGAAAGATTTCATCTCTTCCAGATCCATTTTGATAGGCTTTAAATTATTCATAGTAGTTATCCATAGAAATCTTTTCACAGATAATATGGCAAAAAGTCACGTTACATTAAAAAGACTCGTTTTTATAAGTTATGTAAGCATAAGTCAAGTTTGATTGTTTTTTTCAAAATTCTGACTGGCTAATTAGTGCCAGAGTACCAAGTTTCTATGTCTTAATGACACTGTCGGGGGGGGGGGGGGGGGCGGTTATTGCCCAAACAACTTAGATAGATATTATGAAAAGGTCCAATAGAAATGGCTTGGGTTAGAAAAACCTTCCAGGAACACTGATACTAAACAAAATTCAAAATTAAATTTGAAATGCTCTATAAAATCTTTGCACTTCACAAAAGGCTTCCAATTTCATTTGACACTGGTTTATGTCCTTTTCTAGAACTATCTCAACCAATGTGCTGAGGTACAATTTGTGTAGCAAACTTTCATAATATAGCATTCATGATAATTGGAAAGAATTCCCCACAGCTGTTCCTTTTATTATATTCAGTTATCAATGTTTTTAGTTGCTACTGCAGCTTAAACTCTAGGATTAGGTACAGAGAGAAACTCCTAGGAGGTATATATAAATGTAGGTTTACTGAATTCGATAGCCAAAAATCTAGTTAGCTAGTTATTCATTAATTAGATTAGAAATAGACATTTAGAAGAAAGTGGCTAGTTTTAGTCCTGTTTATGTTTCTAATCCCCAGAGATTTCAATATGTTTTTTAAGAGTCAGCACTTTGAAGGTTCCACTGCATGTCTGCCTGTAAATCTCTTTGTAAAACTTTTCACAGGCCCAAAGATCCATTCTGTATCTGCAGAATAGTGCAAAAGTGGGTTTGGAAGGTTTGAGCACAGTGTTGAGAATAGAATATGGCAGAAACATCAGATGAGATTATTAGGATACACTCATGCTGGCACAGTCCTCTGATACGTAAATCTGTGAAACAGCATCAAAAATGTACAGAGGGCAATATGAACTATTTCATCTATGGGACAATATCAGTAAAAGAGCAAATGAGTATAAAATGGCCATGGTAAGTTAAAAGGTCGCCCTTTATCAGAGTAGTGACATTCTGAAATAGTCTTCTAATAAAAGAAGGTAGGGCAAGAATTCTAAATGTCATTAGACAGAGCCTGAGAAATGTAGTAAAGGGATAGATAACACAATGTGCTTTTCTGGGATTGCAGGACTTGGTGACATGGAAGGCCACTTCCAGTCACATATTGCACCATTCAAACATCCATCCATCTCTCTCTTTGTACTCCTTATTGTGTATCTCTCTCCCTTTCCTTTCCTCAGCTTTGCTGAGAAATTTGGTCCTGCTGCTATAACCTGACATTTCCACTACTGTGACTCCTCTCACTGTGCAACTCAAAATATAGAGACATGCACTCTGGTATGCATCACACTAAGGTATCAGTGAGCCTCACAGCTGGATCACTGCACTCTGGATTCTCTCTCATGCATCAATAATATCAACCTGAGTATCAGCATCACAGGACACAAGAACAAGTTCTTCTTTCGAGAGATAACAGCTGTATGACTTATATCATATCTGCAAGCTGGAGAAGTAATTTAGGTAGTGAAGACAGTGAAAAAGGAGGGGATGGCACATAACTACCTTCACAAGGTAGAGAAAGAATAATGAATAAAATAAATGAGTCATGGCCATTGTGTTTAGAGGAAGTGATACACTTTCAGAAAGCATTTAAAGAGGAGTGAGATGCTCTAGCAGTAAGATTTTAGTGGAATAAATTAGGAGCAGATGGGAGAATAAAGTTTAGAAAATAATTTCAGAAGGAACAGAAGATGTTGTGGGACAGTGGTTGATACTTCAAGTGAAAAATACAAACTTTGAAATGCAGGTGCAGAAAACAAGATTTCACTACAGAATTTAATAAATAAATAAATACAATTCTCAGCATTTTACCTTTTAAGTAATACAAATAAATGAATCTCTTCAAAAAGAGCTAGGTTACAAATTCTACTGCAAAGACCCTTCCAATATTGTCTTACTACTTAACAGGAATGTTCAGGACATTATGTAGAGATTAAAGTTGCCTTAAGATATAGCTTCCAGTGAAGTGCTGCACATGTGCTGGTCCTGAATAAGTAGGTACCCTGATCTCTTGTCCTTTCACCTCAGTCTTCACTGTTCAAAACTCCTTGTGTAATGCAATGCAGAGTAGCATAACATCTTCTGGATGCCTGTTTCTGCATAACATTGACTTTTACTCAGAGGAATAGTCCAATAGTAGCTGCCAGATAGTCCTTATTGAAAAACTGGCATTGTCATATCCCAGTGTAGATATTTGTCACTAAAATTAAATTTATGTTTCCATTCCACTTTACTAAAAGTTGGGGTTTTTTAATGTTTCACATTATCATTCCTGGATGTGCTAAGCTAGACTCTCTTCTAGAAGAGTCTCAACTTACTTTTTTTCATTATTCATTTCTTTTGACATTCTGTTCAAGGGGACAGCCCAATTTCTGCACTCTTTTGCACTGACAGGATCAGTTGGGATCCTGACACTGATTGTTAGAAAGAGACAAGTTTTCCCAGAGGCACAAAAAGTAGACCTCTATTAAAGAAAGCAGTGGGGCAAAAATTTTACATATATCCCTTAACATTTTTTAGGAATTTATAAAGAGGACTTCTGGCCTTAAAATTACAGCATGTAGAGGGGCAACAGTAAGTGATTTTACCATTTGTTTAAATACTGATTTATTTTAAAGCTTCTTACACATCCAGTTCCCACTGATGTAAGGCTCCAAAGCTGTGAACTCTGTTGTGAACAGACTCAGAGCAGCATGAAGATTAGAATAGTGAGTACCTATGCTTATTTTCAAAGAGTGAATTCCTAAATACCCATAGGTTAACACTGGAAACAAACAATAGCTGACCCAGTTAATAAACTTATAAATTACTGGTCTCTTTATTGTGTTGTTTAGGAAAAATTGTTTTGTGGTCTGTGATCATTAATGTTCAGAGATTATTGATCCCCTTGAAATTCATCAGTCTGTTGAGGTATAGCATGTGGTTGAAAGACTTAATATGTATCTGTTGTTTATGATTTGTCTCAATAGCTGACTTATAGGAAGGTAAAACTCTATGATCTTTAAATTTCTTGAAATAATACTTTTCAAAACAGTTTCATCATTCACCCACCTGTAGGAAATATATATACCCAAACTGGTTATATGGCTGATCAAACAATAAATATATACCTTGACAGGCTACATGGTTGATTGGAAGATTGTAATCTAATTTGCAGACATGCTGAGCAGCCACAGCTCTTCTGAAAGTAGAGTTCTCAGTGAAGGGGCGGGGGTCATATACGAAGTGATAGACCTTGTAGTTTCACTGCATGTTTTTGTGATCTGGCCAGACTCTATTCTGTCAGCCCCAAAAGGTTAAGAAATAAGTAACAATATCCCCCAAGGCCAGTCTCAGCTGTTGATATAAAAAGAACCATTACATGATCATGACTTCAAACTGACCTTCAGGTTTTCAGGCTAAAAGAAGACTAGTAGCATCTAGGACAGAGAGGGGCAATATAAGACCTAAAAATAAACCAAATTATTGATCTATACATTTTCAGCAGTCTGATTCAGCTGACACACTGTGCTGTTTACAGCATCATGCAATAACACACACACGAACAAGATTTCAAGGCTGTTCATTTTGGAACACAAGCTGACATAAAGCAGAAAATTCTGAATTAAGGGGAAAAAAATTTGATATGTCTTCCAATTACACAGCAA